AGTGATATCGATTCAACAGTGGTATCGACTCAACAGTGGAGTCGACTCAACAGTGGTATCGACTCAACAGTGGAGTCGACTCAACAGTGGTATCGACTCAACAGTGGAGTCGACTCAACAGTGGTATCGACTCAACAGTGGAGTCGACTCAACAGTGGAGTCGACTCAACAGTGGAGTCGACTCAACAGTGGAGTCGACTCAACAGTGGTATCGACTCAACAGTGGAGTCGACTCAACAGTGGTATCGACTCAACAGTGGAGTCGACTCAACAGTGGTATCGACTCAACAGTGGAGTCGACTCAACAGTGGAGTCGACTCAACAGTGGTATCGACTCAACAGTGGAGTCGACTCAACAGTGGTATCGACTCAACAGTGGAGTCGACTCAACAGTGGTATCGACTCAACAGAGGTATCGACTCAACAGTGGTATCGACTCAACAGTGGTATCGACTCAACAGTGGTATCGACTCAACAGTGGTATCGACTCAACAGTGGTATCGACTCAACAGTGGTATCGACTCAACAGTGGTATCGACTCAACAGTGGAGTCGACTCAACAGTGGAGTCGACTCAACAGTGGAGTCGACTCAACAGTGGTATCGACTCAACAGTGGAGTCGACTCAACAGTGGAGTCGACTCAACAGTGGTATCGACTCAACAGTGGTATCGACTCAACAATTGTATCGACTCAACAGTGGTATCGACTCAACAGTGGTATCGACTCAACAGTGGTATCGACTCAACAGTGGTATCGACTCAACAGTGGTATCGACTCAACAGTGGTATCGACTCAACAGTGGAGTCGACTCAACAGTGGAGTCGACTCAACAGTGGTATCGACTCAACAGTGGTATCGACTCAACAGTGGAGTCGACTCAACAGTTGTATCGACTCAACAGTGGAGTCGACTCAACAGTGGTATCGACTCAACAGTGGAGTCGACTCAACAGCGGAGTCGACTCAACAGTGGAGTCGACTCAACAGCGGAGTCGACTCAACAGTGGAGTCGACTCAACAGTGGAGTCGACTCAACAGTGGAGTCGACTCAACAGTGGAGTCGACTCAACAGTGGTATCGACTCAACAGTGGTATCGACTCAACAGTGGTATCGACTCAACAGTGGTATCGACTCAACAGTGGTATCGACTCAACAGTGGAGTCGACTCAACAGTGGAGTCGACTCAACAGTGGAGTCGACTCAACAGTGGAGTCGACTCAACAGTGGTATCGACTCAACAGTGGAGTCGACTCAACAGTGGTATCGACTCAACAGTGGAGTCGACTCAACAGTGGAGTCGACTCAACAGTGGAGTCGACTCAACAGTGGAGTCGACTCAACAGTGGAGTCGACTCAACAGTGGTATCGACTCAACAGTGGTATCGACTCAACAGTGGAGTCGACTCAACAGTGGTATCGACTCAACAGTGGTATCGACTCAACAGTGGTATCGACTCAACAGTGGTATCGACTCAACAGTGGTATCGACTCAACAGTGGTATCGACTCAACAGTGGTATCGACTCAACAGTGGAGTCGACTCAACAGTGGAGTCGACTCAACAGTGGAGTCGACTCAACAGTGGTATCGACTCAACAGTGGAGTCGACTCAACAGTGGTATCGACTCAACAGTGGTATCGACTCAACAGTGGTATCGACTCAACAGTGGTATCGACTCAACAGTGGAGTCGACTCAACAGTGGAGTCGACTCAACAGTGGTACCGACTCAACAGTGGAGTCGACTCAACAGTGGTATCGACTCAACAGTGGAGTCGACTCAACAGTGGTATCGACTCAACAGTGGAGTCGACTCAACAGTGGAGTCGACTCAACAGTGGTATCGACTCAACAGTAGAGTCGACTCAACAGTGGTATCGACTCAACAGTGGCGTCGACTCAACAGTGGTATCGACTCAACAGTGGTATCGACTCAACAGTGGTATCGACTCAACAGTGGTATCGACTCAACAGTGGTATCGACTCAACAGTGGTATCGACTCAACAGTGGTATCGACTCAACAGTGGTATCGACTCAACAGTGGAGTCGACTCAACACTGGAGTCGACTCAACAGTGGTATCGACTCAACAGTGGTATCGACTCAACAGTGGTATCGACTCAACAGTGGTATCGACTCAACAGTGGTATCGACTCAACAGTGGTATCGACTCAACAGTGGAGTCGACTCAACAGTGGAGTCGACTCAACAGTGGAGTCGACTCAACAGTGGTATCGACTCAACAGTGGAGTCGACTCAACAGTGGTATCGACTCAACAGTGGTATCGACTCAACAGTGGTATCGACTCAACAGTGGTATCGACTCAACAGTGGTATCGACTCAACAGTGGTATCGACTCAACAGTGGTATCGACTCAACAGTGGTATCGACTCAACAGTGGTATCGACTCAACAGTGGTATCGACTCAACAGTGGTATCGACTCAACAGTGGTATCGACTCAACAGTGGTATCGACTCAACAGTGGAGTCGACTCAACAGTGGAGTCGACTCAACAGTGGTATCGACTCAACAGTGGAGTCGACTCAACAGTGGTATCGACTCAACAGTGGTATCGACTCAACAGTGGTATCGACTCAACAGTGGTATCGACTCAACAGTGGTATCGACTCAACAGTGGTATCGACTCAACAGTGGTATCGACTCAACAGTGGTATCGACTCAACAGTGGTATCGACTCAACAGTGGTATCGACTCAACAGTGGTATCGACTCAACAGTGGAGTCGACTCAACAGTGGAGTCGACTCAACAGTGGTATCGACTCAACAGTGGAGTCGACTCAACAGTGGTATCGACTCAACAGTGGAGTCGACTCAACAGTGGTATCGACTCAACAGTGGAGTCGACTCAACAGTGGTATCGACTCAACAGTGGAGTCGACTCAACAGTGGAGTCGACTCAACAGTGGAGTCGACTCAACAGTGGAGTCGACTCAACAGTGGTATCGACTCAACAGTGGAGTCGACTCAACAGTGGTATCGACTCAACAGTGGAGTCGACTCAACAGTGGTATCGACTCAACAGTGGAGTCGACTCAACAGTGGAGTCGACTCAACAGTGGTATCGACTCAACAGTGGAGTCGACTCAACAGTGGTATCGACTCAACAGTGGAGTCGACTCAACAGTGGTATCGACTCAACAGTGGTATCGACTCAACAGTGGTATCGACTCAACAGTGGAGTCGACTCAACAGTGGTATCGACTCAACAGTGGAGTCGACTCAACAGTGGTATCGACTCAACAGTAGTATCGACTCAACAGAGGTATCAACTCAACAGTGGTATCGACTCAACAGTGGTATCGACTCAACAGTGGTATCGACTCAACAGTGGTATCGACTCAACAGTGGAGTCGACTCAACAGTGGAGTCGACTCAACAGTGGAGTCGACTCAACAGTGGAGTCGACTCAACAGTGGTATCGACTCAACAGTGGTATCGACTCAACAGTGGTATCGACTCAACAGTGGTATCGACTCAACAGTGGTATCGACTCAACAGTGGTATCGACTCAACAGTGGTATCGACTCAACAGTGGTATCGACTCAACAGTGGTATCGACTCAACAGTGGAGTCGACTCAACAGTGGTACCGACTCAACAGTGGAGTCGACTCAACAGTGGTATCGACTCAACAGTGGAGTCGACTCCACTGTTGAGTCGATACCACTGTTGAGTCGATACCACTGTTGAGTCGATACCACTGTTGAGTCGATACCACTGTTGAGTCGATACCACTGTTGAGTCGATACCACTGTTGAGTCGATACCACTGTTGAGTCGATACCACTGTTGAGTCGATACCACTGTTGAGTCGATACCACTGTTGAGTCGATACCACTGTTGAGTCGATACCACTGTTGAGTCGACTCCACTGTTGAGTCGACTCCACTGTTGAGTCGACTCCACTGTTGAGTCGACTCCACTGTTGAGTCGACTACCACTGTTGAGTCGATACCACTGTTGAGTCGATACCACTGTTGAGTCGATACCACTGTTGAGTCGATACCACTGTTGAGTCGATACCACTGTTGAGTCGACTCCAGTGTTGAGTCGACTCCACTGTTGAGTCGATACCACTGTTGAGTCGATACCACTGTTGAGTCGATACCACTGTTGAGTCGATACCACTGTTGAGTCGATACCACTGTTGAGTCGATACCACTGTTGAGTCGATACCACTGTTGAGTCGATACCACTGTTGAGTCGACGCCACTGTTGAGTCGATACCACTGTTGAGTCGACTCTACTGTTGAGTCGATACCACTGTTGAGTCGACTCCACTGTTGAGTCGACTCCACTGTTGAGTCGATACCACTGTTGAGTCGACTCCACTGTTGAGTCGATACCACTGTTGAGTCGACTCCACAGTTGAGTCGGTACCACTGTTGAGTCGACTCCACTGTTGAGTCGACTCCACTGTTGAGTCGATACCACTGTTGAGTCGATACCACTGTTGAGTCGATACCACTGTTGAGTCGATACCACTGTTGAGTCGACTCCACTGTTGAGTCGATACCACTGTTGAGTCGACTCCACTGTTGAGTCGACTCCACTGTTGAGTCGACTCCACTGTTGAGTCGATACCACTGTTGAGTCGATACCACTGTTGAGTCGATACCACTGTTGAGTCGATACCACTGTTGAGTCGATACCACTGTTGAGTCGATACCACTGTTGAGTCGATACCACTGTTGAGTCGACTCCACTGTTGAGTCGATACCACTGTTGAGTCGATACCACTGTTGAGTCGACTCCACTGTTGAGTCGACTCCACTGTTGAGTCGACTCCACTGTTGAGTCGACTCCACTGTTGAGTCGACTCCACTGTTGAGTCGACTCCACTGTTGAGTCGATACCACTGTTGAGTCGACTCCACTGTTGAGTCGATACCACTGTTGAGTCGACTCCACTGTTGAGTCGACTCCACTGTTGAGTCGACTCCACTGTTGAGTCGACTCAACAGTGGTATCGACTCAACAATGGTATCGACTCAACAGTGGTATCGACTCAACAGTGGTATCGACTCAACAGTGGAGTCGACTCAACAGTGGAGTCGACTCAACAGTGGTATCGACTCAACAGTGGAGTCGACTCAACAGTGGTATCGACTCAACAGTGGTATCGACTCAACAGTGGTATCGACTCAACAGTGGTATCGACTCAATAGTGGTATCGACTCAACAGTGGTATCGACTCAACAGTGGTATCGACTCAACAGTGGTATCGACTCAACAGTGGTATCGACTCAACAGTGGTATCGACTCAACAGTGGAGTCGACTCAACAGTGGAGTCGACTCAACAGTGGAGTCGACTCAACAGTGGAGTCGACTCAACAGTGGAGTCGACTCAACAGTGGAGTCGACTCAACAGTGGTATCGACTCAACAGTGGTATCGACTCATCAGTGGTATCGACTCAACAGTGGAGTCGACTCAACAGTGGAGTCGACTCAACAGTGGTATCGACTCAACAGTGGAGTCGACTCAACAGTGGTATCGACTCAACAGTGGAGTCGACTCAACAGTGGAGTCGACTCAACAGTGGAGTCGACTCAACAGTGGAGTCGACTCAACAGTGGTATCGACTCAACAGTGGTATCGACTCAACAGTGGTATCGACTCAACAGTGGTATCGACTCAACAGTGGTATCGACTCAACAGTGGTATCGACTCAACAGTGGTATCGACTCAACAGTGGTATCGACTCAACAGTGGAGTCGAGTCAACAGTGGAGTCGACTCAACAGTGGAGTCGACTCAACAGTGGTATCGACTCAACAGTGGAGTCGACTCAACAGTGGTATCGACTCAACAGTGGTATCGACTCAACAGTGGTATCGACTCAACAGTGGTATCGACTCAACAGTGGAGTCGACTCAACAGTGGAGTCGACTCAACAGTGGTATCGACTCAACAGTGGAGTCGACTCAACAGTGGTATCGACTCAACAGTGGAGTCGACTCAACAGTGGAGTCGACTCAACAGTGGAGTCGACTCAACAGTGGAGTCGACTCAACAGTGGTATCGACTCAACAGTGGTATCGACTCAACAGTGGTATCGACTCAACAGTGGTATCGACTCAACAGTGGTATCGACTCAACAGTGGTATCGACTCAACAGTGGTATCGACTCAACAGTGGTATCGACTCAACAGTGGAGTCGACTCAACAGTGGAGTCGACTCAACAGTGGTATCGACTCAACAGTGGTATCGACTCAACAGTGGTATCGACTCAACAGTGGTATCGACTCAACAGTGGTATCGACTCAACAGTGGTATCGACTCAACAGTGGTATCGACTCAACAGTGGTATCGACTCAACAGTGGTATCGACTCAACAGTGGAGTCGACTCAACAGTGGAGTCGACTCAACAGTGGAGTCGACTCAACAGTGGTATCGACTCAACAGTGGAGTCGACTCAACAGTGGTATCGACTCAACAGTGGAGTCGACTCAACAGTGGAGTCGACTCAACAGTGGTATCGACTCAACAGTGGAGTCGACTCAACAGTGGTATCGACTCAACAGTGGAGTCGACTCAACAGTGGTATCGACTCAACAGTGGTATCGACTCAACAGTGGTATCGACTCAACAGTGGTATCGACTCAACAGTGGTATCGACTCAACAGTGGTATCGACTCAACAGTGGTATCGACTCAACAGTGGTATCGACTCAACAGTGGAGTCGACTCAACAGTGGAGTCGACTCAACAGTGGTATCGACTCAACAGTGGTATCGACTCAACAGTGGTATCGACTCAACAGTGGTATCGACTCAACAGTGGTATCGACTCAACAGTGGTATCGACTCAACAGTGGTATCGACTCAACAGTGGAGTCGACTCAACAGTGGAGTCGACTCAACAGTGGTATCGACTCAACAGTGGAGTCGACTCAACAGTGGTATCGACTCAACAGTGGTATCGACTCAACAGTGGTATCGACTCAACAGTGGTATCGACTCAACAGTGGTATCGACTCAACAGTGGTATCGACTCAACAGTGGTATCGACTCAACAGTGGTATCGACTCAACAGTGGTATCGACTCAACAGTGGTATCGACTCAACAGTGGTATCGACTCAACAGTGGAGTCGACTCAACAGTGGAGTCGACTCAACAGTGGAGTCGACTCAACAGTGGAGTCGACTCAACAGTGGAGTCGACTCAACAGTGGAGTCGACTCAACAGTGGTATCGACTCAACAGTGGTATCGACTCATCAGTGGTATCGACTCAACAGTGGAGTCGACTCAACAGTGGAGTCGACTCAACAGTGGTATCGACTCAACAGTGGAGTCGACTCAACAGTGGTATCGACTCAACAGTGGAGTCGACTCAACAGTGGAGTCGACTCAACAGTGGAGTCGACTCAACAGTGGAGTCGACTCAACAGTGGTATCGACTCAACAGTGGTATCGACTCAACAGTGGTATCGACTCAACAGTGGTATCGACTCAACAGTGGTATCGACTCAACAGTGGTATCGACTCAACAGTGGATCGACTCAACAGTGGTATCGACTCAACAGTGGTATCGACTCAACAGTGGAGTCGACTCAACAGTGGAGTCGACTCAACAGTGGAGTCGACTCAACAGTGGTATCGACTCAACAGTGGAGTCGACTCAACAGTGGTATCGACTCAACAGTGGTATCGACTCAACAGTGGTATCGACTCAACAGTGGTATCGACTCAACAGTGGAGTCGACTCAACAGTGGAGTCGACTCAACAGTGGTATCGACTCAACAGTGGAGTCGACTCAACAGTGGTATCGACTCAACAGTGGAGTCGACTCAACAGTGGTATCGACTCAACAGTGGAGTCGACTCAACAGTGGTATCGACTCAACAGTGGAGTCGACTCAACAGTGGTATCGACTCAACAGTGGAGTCGACTCAACAGTGGTATCGACTCAACAGTGGTATCGACTCAACAGTGGTATCGACTCAACAGTGGTATCAACTCAACAGTGGTATCGACTCAACAGTGGAGTCGACTCAACAGTGGTATCGACTCAACAGTGGAGTCGACTCAACAGTGGTATCGACTCAACAGTGGAGTCGACTCAACAGTGGTATCGACTCAACAGTGGAGTCGACTCAACAGTGGAGTCGACTCAACAGTGGTATCGACTCAACAGTGGAGTCGACTCAACAGTGGTATCGACTCAACAGTGGAGTCGACTCAACAGTGGTATCGACTCAAAAGTGGTATCGACTCAACAGTGGTATCGACTCAACAGTGGTATCGACTCAACAGTGGTATCGACTCAACGGTGGTATCGACTCAACAGTGGTATCGACTCAACAGTGGTATCGACTCAACAGTGGAGTCGACTCAACAGTGGAGTCGACTCAACAGTGGTATCGACTCAACAGTGGTATCGACTCAACAGTGGTATCGACTCAACAGTGGTATCGACTCAACAGTGGTATCGACTCAACAGTGGTATCGACTCAACAGTGGAGTCGACTCAACAGTGGAGTCGACTCAACAGTGGAGTCGACTCAACAGTGGTATCGACTCAACAGTGGAGTCGACTCAACAGTGGTATCGACTCAACAGTGGTATCGACTCAACAGTGGTATCGACTCAACAGTGGTATCGACTCAACAGTGGTATCGACTCAACAGTGGTATCGACTCAACAGTGGAGTCGACTCAACAGTGGAGCCGACTCAACAGTGGAGCCGACTCAACAGTGGAGTCGACTCAACAGTGGTATCGACTCAACAGTGGAGTCGACTCAACAGTGGTATCGACTCAACAGTGGAGTCGACTCAACAGTGGTATCGACTCAACAGTGGAGTCGACTCAACAGTGGTATCGACTCAACAGTGGAGTCGACTCAACAGTGGTATCGACTCAACAGTGGAGTCGACTCAACAGTGGAGTCGACTCAACAGTGGAGTCGACTCAACAGTGGAGTCGACTCAACAGTGGTATCGACTCAACAGTGGTATCGACTCAACAGTGGTATCGACAACAGTGGTATCGACTCAACAGTGGTATCGACTCAACAGTGGTATCGACTCAACAGTGGTATCGACTCAACAGTGGTATCGACTCAACAGTGGTATCGACTCAACAGTGGTATCGACTCAACAGTGGAGTCGACTCAACAGTGGAGTCGACTCAACAGTGGTATCGACTCAACAGTGGAGTCGACTCAACAGTGGTATCGACTCAACAGTGGAGTCGACTCAACAGTGGTATCGACTCAACAGTGGAGTCGACTCAACAGTGGTATCGACTCAACAGTGGAGTCGACTCAACAGTGGTATCGACTCAACAGTGGAGTCGACTCAACAGTGGAGTCTCAACAGTGGAGTCGACTCAACAGTGGAGTCGACTCAACAGTGGTATCGACTCAACAGTGGTATCGACTCAACAGTGGTATCGACTCAACAGTGGTATCGACTCAACAGTGGTATCGACTCAACAGTGGTATCGACTCAACAGTGGTATCGACTCAACAGTGGTATCGACTCAACAGTGGTATCGACTCAACAGTGGAGTCGACTCAACAGTGGAGTCGACTCAACAGTGGAGTCGACTCAACAGTGGTATCGACTCAACAGTGGAGTCGACTCAACAGTGGTATCGACTCAACAGTGGTATCGACTCAACAGTGGTATCGACTCAACAGTGGTATCGACTCAACAGTGGAGTCGACTCAACAGTGGAGTCGACTCAACAGTGGTATCGACTCAACAGTGGAGTCGACTCAACAGTGGTATCGACTCAACAGTGGAGTCGACTCAACAGTGGTATCGACTCAACAGTGGAGTCGACTCAACAGTGGAGTCGACTCAACAGTGGTATCGACTCAACAGTGGAGTCGACTCAACAGTGGTATCGACTCAACAGTGGAGTCGACTCAACAGTGGTATCGACTCAACAGTGGTATCGACTCAACAGTGGTATCGACTCAACAGTGGTATCGACTCAACAGTGGTATCGACTCAACAGTGGTATCGACTCAACAGTGGTATCGACTCAACAGTGGTATCGACTCAACAGTGGAGTCGACTCAACAGTGGAGTCGACTCAACAGTGGTATCGACTCAACAGTGGAGTCGACTCAACAGTGGTATCGACTCAACAGTGGTATCGACTCAACAGTGGTATCGACTCAACAGTGGTATCGACTCAACAGTGGTATCGACTCAACAGTGGTATCGACTCAACAGTGGTATCGACTCAACAGTGGTATCGACTCAACAGTGGTATCGACTCAACAGTGGAGTCGACTCAACAGTGGAGTCGACTCAACAGTGGAGTCGACTCAACAGTGGAGTCGACTCAACAGTGGAGTCGACTCAACAGTGGAGTCGACTCAACAGTGGTATCGACTCAACAGTGGTATCGACTCATCAGTGGTATCGACTCAACAGTGGAGTCGACTCAACAGTGGAGTCGACTCAACAGTGGTATCGACTCAACAGTGGAGTCGACTCAACAGTGGTATCGACTCAACAGTGGAGTCGACTCAACAGTGGAGTCGACTCAACAGTGGAGTCGACTCAACAGTGGAGTCGACTCAACAGTGGTATCGACTCAACAGTGGTATCGACTCAACAGTGGTATCGACTCAACAGTGGTATCGACTCAACAGTGGTATCGACTCAACAGTGGTATCGACTCAACAGTGGTATCGACTCAACAGTGGTATCGACTCAACAGTGGTATCGACTCAACAGTGGAGTCGACTCAACAGTGGAGTCGACTCAAAAGTGGAGTCGACTCAACAGTGGTATCGACTCAACAGTGGAGTCGACTCAACAGTGGTATCGACTCAACAGTGGTATCGACTCAACAGTGGTATCGACTCAACAGTGGTATCGACTCAGCAGTGGAGTCGACTCAACAGTGGAGTCGACTCAACAGTGGTATCGACTCAACAGTGGAGTCAACTCAACAGTGGTATCGACTCAATAGTGGAGTCGACTCAACAGTGGTATCGACTCAACAGTGGAGTCGACTCAACAGTGGTATCGACTCAACAGTGGAGTCGACTCAACAGTGGTATCGACTCAACAGTGGTATCGACTCAACAGTGGTATCGACTCAACAGTGGTATCGACTCAACAGTGGTATCAACTCAACAGTGGTATCGACTCAACAGTGGTATCGACTCAACAGTGGTATCGACTCAACAGTGGTATCGACTCAACAGTGGTATCGACTCAACAGTGGAGTCGACTCAACAGTGGAGTCGACTCAACAGTGGTATCGACTCAACAGTGGAGTCGACTCAACAGTGGTATCGACTCAACAGTGGAGTCGACTCAACAGTGGTATCGACTCAACAGTGGAGTCGACTCAACAGTGGTATCGACTCAACAGTGGAGTCGACTCAACAGTGGAGTCGACTCAACAGTGGAGTCGACTCAACAGTGGAGTCGACTCAACATTGGTATCGACTCAACAGTGGTATCGACTCAACAGTGGTATCGACTCAACAGTGGTATCGACTCAACAGTGGTATCGACTCAATTGTGGTATCGACTCAACAGAGGTATCGACTCAACAGTGGTATCGACTCAACAGTGGAGTCGACTCAACAATGGAGTCGACTCAACAGTGGTATCGACTCAACAGTGGAGTCGACTCAACAGTGGTATCGACTCAACAGTGGAGTCGACTCAACAGTGGTATCGACTCAACAGTGGAGTCGACTCAACAGTGGTATCGACTCAACAGTGGAGTCGACTCAACAGTGGAGTCGACTCAACAGTGGAGTCGACTCAACAGTGGAGTCGACTCAACAGTGGTATCGACTCAACAGTGGTATCGACTCAACAGTGGTATCGACTCAACAGTGGTATCGACTCAACAGTGGTATCGACTCAACAGTGGTATAGACTCAACAGTGGTATCGACTCAACAGTGGTATCGACTCAACAGTGGTATCGACTCAACAGTGGTATCGACTCAACAGTGGAGTCGACTCAACAGTGGTATCGACTCAACAATGGTATCGACTCAACAGTGGTATCGACTCAACAGTGGTATCGACTCAACAGTGGTATCGACTCAACAGTGGTATCGACTCAACAGTGGTATCGACTCAACAGTGGTATCGACTCAACAGTGGTATCGACTCAACAGTGGTATCGACTCAACAGTGGTATCGACTCAACAGTGGTATCGACTCAACAGTGGTATCGACTCAACAGTGGAGTCGACTCAACAGTGGAGTCGACTCAACAGTGGTATCGACTCAACAGTGGAGTCGACTCAACAGTGGAGTCGACTCAATAGTGGAGTCGACTCAACAGTGGTATCGACTCAACAGTGGAGTCGACTCAACAGTGGTATCGACTCAACAGTGGAGTCGACTCAACAGTGGAGTCGACTCAACAGTGGAGTCGACTCAACAGTGGAGTCGACTCAACAGTGGTATCGACTCAACAGTGGTATCGACTCAACAGTGGTATCGACTCAACAGTGGTATCGACTCAACAGTGGTATCGACTCAACAGTGGTATCGACTCAACAGTGGTATCGACTCAACAGTGGAGTCGACTCAACAGTGGAGTCGACTCAACAGTGGAGTCGACTCAACAGTGGAGTCGACTCAACAGTGGTATCGACTCAACGGTGGTATCGACTCAACAGTGGAGTCGACTCAACAGTGGTATCGACTCAACAGTGGAGTCGACTCAACAGTGGAGTCGACTCAACAGTGGAGTCGACTCAACAGTGGAGTCGACTCAACAGTGGTATCGACTCAACAGTGGAGTCGACTCAACAGTGGAGTCGACTCAACAGTGGAGTCGACTCAACAGTGGAGTCGACTCAACAGTGGAGTCGACTCAACAGTGGAGTCGACTCAACAGTGGAGTCGACTCAACAGTGGTATCGACTCAACAGTGGTATCGACTGAACAGTGGAGTCGACTCAACAGTGGAGTCGACTCAACAGTGGTATCGACTCAACAGTGGAGTCGACTCAACAGTGGTATCGACTCAACAGTGGAGTCGACTCAACAGTGGTATCGACTCAACAGTGGAGTCGACTCAACAGTGGTATCGACTCAACAGTGGAGTCGACTCAACAGTGGAGTCGACTCAACAGTGGAGTCGACTCAACAGTGGAGTCGACTCAACAGTGGAGTCGACTCAACAGTGGTATCGACTCAACAGTGGTATCGACTCAACAGTGGTATCGACTCAACAGTGGTATCGACTCAACAGTGGTATCGACTCAACAGTGGTATCGACTCAACAGTGGTATCGACTCAACAGTGGTATCGACTCAACAGTGGTATCGACTCAACAGTGGAGTCGACTCAACAGTGGAGTCGACTCAACAGTGGTATCGACTCAACAGTGGAGTCGACTCAACAGTGGTATCGACTCAACAATGGAGTCGACTCAACAGTGGTATCGACTCAACAGTGGAGTCGACTCAACAGTGGTATCGACTCAACAGTGGAGTCGACTCAACAGTGGTATCGACTCAACAGTGGAGTCGACTCAACAGTGGAGTCGACTCAACAGTGGAGTCGACTCAACAGTGGAGTCGACTCAACAGTGGTATCGACTCAACAGTGGAGTCGACTCAACAGTGGTATCGACTCAACAGTGGAGTCGACTCAACAGTGGTATCGACTCAACAGTGGAGTCGACTCAACAGTGGAGTCGACTCAACAGTGGTATCGACTCAACAGTGGAGTCGACTCAACAGTGGTATCGACTCAACAGTGGAGTCGACTCAACAGTGGTATCGACTCAACAGTGGTATCGACTCAACAGAGGTATCGACTCAACAGTGGTATCGACTCAACAGTGGTATCGACTCAACAGTGGAGTCGACTCAACAGTGGAGTCGACTCAACAGTGGAGTCGACTCAACAGTGGAGTCGACTCAACAGTGGTATCGACTCAACAGTGGAGTCGACTCAACAGTGGTATCGACTCAACAGTGGAGTCGACTCAACAGTGGTATCGACTCAACAGTGGAGTCGACTCAACAGTGGTATCGACTCAACAGTGGAGTCGACTCAACAGTGGAGTCGACTCAACAGTGGTATCGACTCAACAGTGGAGTCGACTCAACAGTGGAGTCGACTCAACAGTGGTATCGACTCAACAGTGGTCTCGACTCAACAGTGGTATCGACTCAACAGTGGAGTCGACTCAACAGTGGAGTCGACTCAACAGTGGAGTCGACTCAACAGTGGTATCGACTCAACAGTGGAGTCGACTCAACAGTGGAGTCGACTCAACAGTGGAGTCGACTCAACAGTGGAGTCGACTCAACAGTGGTATCGACTCAACAGTGGTATCGACTCAACAGTGGTATCGACTCAACAGTGGTATCGACTCAACAGTGGTATCGACTCAACAGTGGAGTCGACTCAACAGTGGAGTCGACTCAACAGTGGTATCGACTCAACAGTGGAGTCGACTCAACAGTGGTATCGACTCAACAGTGGTATCGACTCAACAGTGGAGTCGACTCAACAGTGGTATCGACTCAACAGTGGAGTCGACTCAACAGTGGAGTCGACTCAACAGTGGAGTCGACTCAACAGTGGAGTCGACTCAACAGTGGTATCGACTCAACAGTGGTATCGACTCAACAGTGGTATCGACTCAACAGTGGTATCGACTCAACAGTGGTATCGACGCAACAGTGGTATCGACTCAACAGTGGTATCGACTCAACAGTGGAGTCGACTCAACAGTGGAGTCGACTCAACAGTGGTATCGACTCAACAGTGGAGTCGACTCAACAGTGGTATCGACTCAACAGTGGAGTCGACTCAACAGTGGTATCGACTCAACAGTGGAGTCGACTCAACAGTGGAGTCGACTCAACAGTGGAGTCGACTCAACAGTGGAGTCGACTCAACAGTGGAGTCGACTCAACAGTGGAGTCGACTCAACAGTGGTATCGACTCAACAGTGGTATCGACTCAACAGTGGTATCGACTCAACAGTGGTATCGACTCAACAGTGGAGTCGACTCAACAGTGGAGTCGACTCAACAGTGGAGTCGACTCAACAGTGGTATCGACTCAACAGTGGAGTCGACTCAACAGTGGTATCGACTCAACAGTGGAGTCGACTCAACAGTGGTATCGACTCAACAGTGGAGTCGACTCAACAGTGGTATCGACTCAACAGTGGTATCGACTCAACAGAGGTATCGACTCAACAGTGGTATCGACTCAACAGTGGTATCGACTCAACAGTGGAGTCGACTCAACAGTGGAGTCGACTCAACAGTGGAGTCGACTCAACAGTGGAGTCGACTCAACAGTGGTATCGACTCAACAGTGGAGTCGACTCAACAGTGGTATCGACTCAACAGTGGAGTCGACTCAACAGTGGAGTCGACTCAACAGTGGAGTCGACTCAACAGTGGTATCGACTCAACAGTGGAGTCGACTCAACAGTGGTATCGACTCAACAGTGGAGTCGACTCAACAGTGGAGTCGACTCAACAGTGGTATCGACTCAACAGTGGAGTCGACTCAACAGTGGAGTCGACTCAACAGTGGTATCGACTCAACAGTGGTCTCGACTCAACAGTGGTATCGACTCAACAGTGGAGTCGACTCAACAGTGGAGTCGACTCAACAGTGGAGTCGACTCAACAGTGGTATCGACTCAACAGTGGAGTCGACTCAACAGTGGAGTCGACTCAACAGTGGAGTCGACTCAACAGTGGAGTCGACTCAACAGTGGTATCGACTCAACAGTGGTATCGACTCAACAGTGGTATCGACTCAACAGTGGTATCGAGTCAACAGTGGTATCGACTCAACAGTGGAGTCGACTCAACAGTGGAGTCGACTCAACAGTGGTATCGACTCAACAGTGGAGTCGACTCAACAGTGGTATCGACTCAACAGTGGTATCGACTCAACAGTGGAGTCGACTCAACAGTGGTATCGACTCAACAGTGGAGTCGACTCAACAGTGGAGTCGACTCAACAGTGGAGTCGACTCAACAGTGGAGTCGACTCAACAGTGGTATCGACTCAACAGTGGTATCGACTCAACAGTGGTATCGACTCAACAGTGGTATCGACTCAACAGTGGTATCGACGCAACAGTGGTATCGACTCAACAGTGGTATCGACTCAACAGTGGAGTCGACTCAACAGTGGAGTCGACTCAACAGTGGTATCGACTCAACAGTGGAGTCGACTCAACAGTGGTATCGACTCAACAGTGGAGTCGACTCAACAGTGGTATCGACTCAACAGTGGAGTCGACTCAACAGTGGAGTCGACTCAACAGTGGAGTCGACTCAACAGTGGAGTCGACTCAACAGTGGAGTCGACTCAACAGTGGAGTCGACTCAACAGTGGTATCGACTCAACAGTGGTATCGACTCAACAGTGGTATCGACTCAACAGTGGTATCGACTCAACAGTGGAGTCGACTCAACAGTGGAGTCGACTCAACAGTGGAGTCGACTCAACAGTGGAGTCGACTCAACAGTGGAGTCGACTCAACAGTGGTATCGACTCAACATTGGTATCGACTCAACAGTGGTATCGACTCAACAGTGGAGTCGACTCAACAGTGGTATCGACTCAACAGTGGTATCGACTCAACAGTGGTATCGACTCAACAGTGGTATCGAATCAACAGTGGTATCGACTCAACAGTGGTATCGACTCAACAGTGGAGTCGACTCAACAGTGGAGTCGACTCAACAGTGGTATCGACTCAACAGTGGTATCGACTCAACAGTGGTATCGACTCAACAGTGGTATCGACTCAACAGTGGTATCGACTCAACAGTGGTATCGACTCAACAGTGGTATCGACTCAACAGTGGAGTCGACTCAACAGTGGAGTCGACTCAACAGTGGTATCGACTCAACAGTGGAGTCGACTCAACAGTGGTATCGACTCAACAGTGGTATCGACTCAACAGTGGTATCGACTCAACAGTGGTATCGACTCAACAGTGGTATCGACTCAACAGTGGTATCGACTCAACAGTGGTATCGACTCAACAGTGGTATCGACTCAACAGTGGTATCGACTCAACAGTGGTATCGACTCAACAGTGGTATCGACTCAACAGTGGTATCGACTCAACAGTGGTATCGACTCAACAGTGGTATCGACTCAACAGTGGAGTCGAGTCAACAGTGGAGCCGACTCAACAGTGGAGCCGACTCAACAGTGGAGTCGACTCAACAGTGGTATCGACTCAACAGTGGAGTCGACTCAACAGTGGTATCGACTCAACAGTGGAGTCGACTCAACAGTGGTATCGACTCAACAGTGGAGTCGACTCAACAGTGGTATCGACTCAACAGTGGTATCGACTCAACAGTGGTATCGACTCAACAGTGGTATCGACTCAACAGTGGTATCGACTCAACAGTGGTATCGACTCAACAGTGGTATCGACTCAACAGTGGTATCGACTCAACAGTGGTATCGACTCAACAGTGGTATCGACTCAACAGTGGTATCGACTCAACAGTGGAGTCGACTCAACAGTGGAGCCGACTCAACAGTGGAGCCGACTCAACAGTGGAGTCGACTCAACAGTGGTATCGACTCAACAGTGGAGTCGACTCAACAGTGGTATCGACTCAACAGTGGAGTCGACTCAACAGTGGTATCGACTCAACAGTGGAGTCGACTCAACAGTGGTATCGACTCAACAGTGGAGTCGACTCAACAGTGGTATCGACTCAACAGTGGAGTCGACTCAACAGTGGAGTCGACTCAACAGTGGAGTCGACTCAACAGTGGAGTCGACTCAACAGTGGTATCGACTCAACAGTGGTATCGACTCAACAGTGGTATCGACTCAACAGTGGTATCGACTCAACAGTGGTATCGACTCAACAGTGGTATCGACTCAACAGTGGTATCGACTCAACAGTGGTATCGACTCAACAGTGGTATCGACTCAACAGTGGAGTCGACTCAACAGTGGAGTCGACTCAACAGTGGAGTCGACTCAACAGTGGTATCGACTCAACAGTGGAGTCGACTCAACAGTGGTATCGACTCAACAGTGGAGTCGACTCAACAGTGGTATCGACTCAACAGTGGAGTCGACTCAACAGTGGTATCGACTCAACAGTGGAGTCGACTCAACAGTGGTATCGACTCAACAGTGTAGTCGACTCAACAGTGGAGTCGACTCAACAGTGGAGTCGACTCAACAGTGGAGTCGACTCAACAGTGGTATCGACTCAACAGTGGTATCGACTCAACAGTGGTATCGACTCAACAGTGGTATCGACTCAACAGTGGTATCGACTCAACAGTGGTATCGACTCAACAGTGGTATCGACTCAACAGTGGTATCGACTCAACAGTGGTATCGACTCAACAGTGGAGTCGACTCAACAGTGGAGTCGACTCAACAGTGGAGTCGACTCAACAGTGGAGTCGACTCAACAGTGGAGTCGACTCAACAGTGGTATCGACTCAACAGTGGTATCGACTCAACAGTGGTATCGACTCAACAGTGGAGTCGACTCAACAGTGGAGTCGACTCAACAGTGGAGTCGACTCAACAGTGGAGTCGACTCAACAGTGGAGTCGACTCAACAGTGGTATCGACTCAACAGTGGAGTCGACTCAACAGTGGAGTCGACTCAACAGTGGAGTCGACTCAACAGTGGAGTCGACTCAACAGTGGTATCGACTCAACAGTGGAGTCGACTCAACAGTGGTATCGACTCAACAGTGGAGTCGACTCAACAGTGGTATCGACTCAACAGTGGTATCGACTCAACAGTGGTATCGACTCAACAGTGGTATCGACTCAACAGTGGTATCGACTCAACAGTGGTATCGACTCAACAGTGGTATCGACTCAACAGTGGTATCGACTCAACAGTGGAGTCGACTCAACAGTGGAGTCGACTCAACAGTGGTATCGACTCAACAGTGGAGTCGACTCAACAGTGGTATCGACTCAACAGTGGTATCGACTCAACAGTGGTATCGACTCAACAGTGGTATCGACTCAACAGTGGTATCGACTCAACAGTGGTATCGACTCAACAGTGGTATCGACTCAACAGTGGTATCGACTCAACAGTGGTATCGACTCAACAGTGGTATCGACTCAACAGTGGTATCGACTCAACAGTGGAGTCGACTCAACAGTGGAGTCGACTCAACAGTGGTATCGACTCAACAGTGGAGTCGACTCAACAGTGGTATCGACTCAACAGTGGAGTCGACTCAACAGTGGTATCGACTCAACAGTGGAGTCGACTCAACAGTGGTATCGACTCAACAGTGGAGTCGACTCAACAGTGGAGTCGACTCAACAGTGGAGTCGACTCAACAGTGGAGTCGACTCAACAGTGGTATCGACTCAACAATGGTATCGACTCAACAGTGGTATCGACTCAACAGTGGTATCGACTCAACAGTGGTATCGACTCAACAGTGGTATCGACTCAACAGTGGTATCGACTCAACAGTGGAGTCGACTCAACAGTGGAGTCGACTCAACAGTGGTATCGACTCAACAGTGGAGTCGACTCAACAGTGGTATCGACTCAACAGTGGTATCGACTCAACAGTGGTATCGACTCAACAGTGGTATCGACTCAACAGTGGTATCGACTCAACAGTGGTATCGACTCAACAGTGGTATCGACTCAACAGTGATATCGACTCAACAGTGGTATCGACTCAACAGTGGTATCGACTCAACAGTGGAGTCGACTCAACAGTGGAGTCGACTCAACAGTGGTATCGACTCAACAGTGGAGTCGACTCAACAGTGGTATCGACTCAACAGTGGAGTCGACTCAACAGTGGAGTCGACTCAACAGTGGTATCGACTCAACAGTGGTATCGACTCAACAGTGGAGTCGACTCAACAGTGGAGTCGACTCAACAGTGGTATCGACTCAACAGTGGAGTCGACTCGACAGTGGTATCGACTCAACAGTGGAGTCGACTCAACAGTGGAGTCGACTCAACAGTGGAGTCGACTCAACAGTGGAGTCGACTCAACAGTGGAGTCGACTCAACAGTAGTATCGACTCAACAGTGGTATCGACTCAACAGTGGTATCGACTCAACAGTGGTATCGACTCAACAGTGGTATCGACTCAACAGTGGTATCGACTCAACAGTGGTATCGACTCAACAGTGGTATCGACTCAACAGTGGTATCGACTCAACAGTGGAGTCGACTCAACAGTGGAGTCGACTCAACAGTGGAGTCGACTCAACAGTGGTATCGACTCAACAGTGGAGTCGACTCAACAGTGGTATCGACTCAACAGTGGTATCGACTCAACAGTGGTATCGACTCAACAGTGGTATCGACTCAACAGTGGAGTCGACTCAACAATGGAGTCGACTCAACAGTGGTATCGACTCAACAGTGGAGTCGACTCAACAGTGGTATCGACTCAACAGTGGAGTCGACTCAACAGTGGAGTCGACTCAACAGTGGAGTCGACTCAACAGTGGAGTCGACTCAACAGTGGTATCGACTCAACAGTGGAGTCGACTCAACAGTGGTATCGACTCAACAGTGGAGTCGACTCAACAGTGGTATCGACTCAACAGTGGTATCGACTCAACAGTGGTATCGACTCAACAGTGGTATCGACTCAACAGTGGTATCGACTCAACAGTGGTATCGACTCAACAGTGGTATCGACTCAACAGTGGTATCGACTCAACAGTGGTATCGACTCAACAGTGGTATCGACTCAACAGTGGTATCGACTCAACAGTGGTATCGACTCAACAGTGGTATCGACTCAACAGTGCAGTCGACTCAACAGTGGAGTCGACTCAACAGTGGTATCGACTCAACAGTGGAGTCGACTCAACAGTGGTATCGACTCAACAGTGGTATCGACTCAACAGTGGAGTCGACTCAACAGTGGAGTCGACTCAACAGTGGTATCGACTCAACAGTGGAGTCGACTCAACAGTGGAGTCGACTCAACAGTGGTATCGACTCAACAGTGGAGTCGACTCAACAGTGGAGTCGACTCAACAGTGGTATCGACTCAACAGTGGAGTCGACTCAACAGTGGAGTCGACTCAACAGTGGTATCGACTCAACAGTGGAGTCGATTCAACAGTGGAGTCGACTCAACAGTGGTATCGACTCAACAGTGGAGTCGACTCAACAGTGGAGTCGACTCAACAGTGGTCTCGACTCAACAGTGGAGTCGACTCAACAGTGGAGTCGACTCAACAGTGGTATCGACTCAACAGTGGAGTCGACTCAACAGTGGAGTCGACTCAACAGTGGTATCGACTCAACAGTGGTATCGACTCAACAGTGGTATCGACTCAACAGTGGTATCGACTCAACAGTGGTATCGACTCAACAGTGGTATCGACTCAACAGTGGTATCGACTCAACAGTGGTATCGACTCAACAGTGGTATCGACTCAACAGTGGTATCGACTCAACAGTGGTATCGACTCAACAGTGGTATCGACTCAACAGTGGTATCGACTCAACATTGGAGTCGACTCAACAGTGGTATCGACTCAACAGTGGAGTCGACTCAACAGTGGAGTCGACTCAACAGTGGTATCGACTCAACAGTGGAGTCGACTCAACAGTGGAGTCGACTCAACAGTGGTATCGACTCAACAGTGGAGTCGACTCAACAGTGGAGTCGACTCAACAGTGGTATCGACTCAACAGTGGAGTCGACTCAACAGTGGAGTCGACTCAACAGTGGAGTCGACTCAACAGTGGAGTCGACTCAACAGTGGAGTCGACTCAACAGTGGTATCGACTCAACAGTGGTATCGACTCAACAGTGGTATCGACTCAACAGTGGTATCGACTCAACAGTGGTATCGACTCAACAGTGGTATCGACTCAACAGTGGTATCGACTCAACAGTGGTATCGACTCAACAGTGGTATCGACTCAACAGTGGTATCGACTCAACAGTGGTATCGACTCAACAGTGGTATCGACTCAACAGTGGTATCGACTCAACAGTGGTATCGACTCAACAGTGGTATCGACTCAACAGTGGTATCGACTCAACAGTGGTATCGACTCAACAGTGGTATCGACTCAACAGTGGTATCGACTCAACAGTGGTATCGACTCAACAGTGGTATCGACTCAACAGTGGTATCGACTCAACAGTGGTATCGACTCAACAGTGGAGTCGACTCAACAGTGGTATCGACTCAACAGTGGTATCGACTCAACAGGGGTATCGACTCAACAGTGGTATCGACTCAACAGTGGTATCGACTCAACAGTGGTATCGACTCAACAGTGGTATCGACTCAACAGTGGTATCGACTCAACAGTGGTATCGACTCAACAGTGGTATCGACTCAACAGTGGTATCGACTCAACAGTGGTATCGACTCAACAGTGGTATCGACTCAACAGTGGTATCGACTCAACAGTGGTATCGACTCAACGGTGGTATCGACTCAACAGTGGTATCGACTCAACAGTGGTATCGACTCAACAGTGGTATCGACTCAACAGTGGAGTCGACTCAACAGTGGAGTCGACTCAACAGTGGTATCGACTCAACAGTGGTATCGACTCAACAGTGGTATCGACTCAACAGTGGTATCGACTCAACAGTGGTATCGACTCAACAGTGGTATCGACTCAACAGTGGTATCGACTCAACAGTGGTATCGACTCAACAGTGGTATCGACTCAACAGTGGTATCGACTCAACAGTGGTATCGACTCAACATTGGAGTCGACTCAACAGTGGTATCGACTCAACAGTGGAGTCGACTCAACAGTGGAGTCGACTCAACAGTGGTATCGACTCAACAGTGGAGTCGACTCAACAGTGGAGTCGACTCAACAGTGGTATCGACTCAACAGTGGAGTCGACTCAACAGTGGAGTCGACTCAACAGTGGTATCGACTCAACAGTGGAGTCGACTCAACAGTGGAGTCGACTCAACAGTGGAGTCGACTCAACAGTGGAGTCGACTCAACAGTGGTATCGACTCAACAGTGGTATCGACTCAACAGTGGTATCGACTCAACAGTGGTATCGACTCAACAGTGGAGTCGACTCAACAGTGGAGTCGACTCAAAAGTGGAGTCGACTCAACAGTGGTATCGACTCAACAGTGGAGTCGACTCAACAGTGGTATCGACTCAACAGTGGTATCGACTCAACAGTGGTATCGACTCAACAGTGGTATCGACTCAGCAGTGGAGTCGACTCAACAGTGGAGTCGACTCAACAGTGGTATCGACTCAACAGTGGAGTCAACTCAACAGTGGTATCGACTCAATAGTGGAGTCGACTCAACAGTGGTATCGACTCAACAGTGGAGTCGACTCAACAGTGGTATCGACTCAACAGTGGAGTCGACTCAACAGTGGTATCGACTCAACAGTGGTATCGACTCAACAGTGGTATCGACTCAACAGTGGTATCGACTCAACAGTGGTATCAACTCAACAGTGGTATCGACTCAACAGTGGTATCGACTCAACAGTGGTATCGACTCAACAGTGGTATCGACTCAACAGTGGTATCGACTCAACAGTGGAGTCGACTCAACAGTGGAGTCGACTCAACAGTGGTATCGACTCAACAGTGGAGTCGACTCAACAGTGGTATCGACTCAACAGTGGAGTCGACTCAACAGTGGTATCGACTCAACAGTGGAGTCGACTCAACAGTGGTATCGACTCAACAGTGGAGTCGACTCAACAGTGGAGTCGACTCAACAGTGGAGTCGACTCAACAGTGGAGTCGACTCAACATTGGTATCGACTCAACAGTGGTATCGACTCAACAGTGGTATCGACTCAACAGTGGTATCGACTCAACAGTGGTATCGACTCAATTGTGGTATCGACTCAACAGAGGTATCGACTCAACAGTGGTATCGACTCAACAGTGGAGTCGACTCAACAATGGAGTCGACTCAACAGTGGTATCGACTCAACAGTGGAGTCGACTCAACAGTGGTATCGACTCAACAGTGGAGTCGACTCAACAGTGGTATCGACTCAACAGTGGAGTCGACTCAACAGTGGTATCGACTCAACAGTGGAGTCGACTCAACAGTGGAGTCGACTCAACAGTGGAGTCGACTCAACAGTGGAGTCGACTCAACAGTGGTATCGACTCAACAGTGGTATCGACTCAACAGTGGTATCGACTCAACAGTGGTATCGACGTATCGACTCAACAGTGGTATCGACTCAACAGTGGTATCGACTCAACAGTGGTATCGACTCAACAGTGGAGTCGACTCAACAGTGGTATCGACTCAACAGTGGTATCGACTCAACAGTGGTATCGACTCAACAGTGGTATCGACTCAACAGTGGTATCGACTCAACAGTGGTATCGACTCAACAGTGGTATCGACTCAACAGTGGTATCGACTCAACAGTGGTATCGACTCAACAGTGGTATTTACTCAACAGTGGTATCGACTCAACAGTGGAGTCGACTCAACAGTGGTATCGACTCAACAGTGGAGTCGACTCAACAGTGGTATCGACTCAACAGTGGAGTCGACTCAACAGTGGAGTCGACTCAACAGTGGAGTCGACTCAACAGTGGAGTCGACTCAACAGTGGAGTCGACTCAACAGTGGAGTCGACTCAACAGTGGTATCGACTCAACAGTGGTATCGACTCAACAGTGGTATCGACTCAACAGTGGTATCGACTCAACAGTGGAGTCGACTCAACAGTGGAGTCGACTCAACAGTGGAGTCGACTCAACAGTGGTATCGACTCAACAGTGGAGTCGACTCAACAGTGGAGTCGACTCAACAGTGGAGTCGACTCAACAGTGGTATCGACTCAACAGTGGAGTCGACTCAACAGTGGAGTCGACTCAACAGTGGAGTCGACTCAACAGTGGTATCGACTCAACAGTGGTATCGACTCAACAGTGGAGTCGACTCAACAGTGGAGTCGACTCAACAGTGGAGTCGACTCAACAGTGGAGTCGACTCAACAGTGGAGTCGACTCAACAGTGGTATCGACTCAACAGTGGAGTCGACTCAACAGTGGAGTCGACTCAACAGTGGAGTCGACTCAACAGTGGAGTCGACTCAACAGTGGAGTCGACTCAACAGTGGAGTCGACTCAACAGTGGAGTCGACTCAACAGTGGAGTCGACTCAACAGTGGTATCGACTCAACAGTGGAGTCGACTCAACAGTGGAGTCGACTCAACAGTGGAGTCGACTCAACAGTGGAGTCGACTCAACAGTGGAGTCGACTCAACAGTGGAGTCGACTCAACAGTGGAGTCGACTCAACAGTGGTATCGACTCAACAGTGGTATCGACTCAACAGTGGTATCGACTCAACAGTGGAGTCGACTCAACAGTGGAGTCGACTCAACAGTGGAGTCGACTCAACAGTGGTATCGACTCAACAGTGGAGTCGACTCAACAGTGGTATCGACTCAACAGTGGAGTCGACTCAACAGTGGAGTCGACTCAACAGTGGAGTCGACTCAACAGTGGAGTCGACTCAACAGTGGAGTCGACTCAACAGTGGAGTCGACTCAACAGTGGAGTCGACTCAACAGTGGTATCGACTCAACAGTGGTATCGACTCAACAGTGGTATCGACTCAACAGTGGTATCGACTCAACAGTGGAGTCGACTCAACAGTGGAGTCGACTCAACAGTGGAGTCGACTCAACAGTGGTATCGACTCAACAGTGGAGTCGACTCAACAGTGGTATCGACTCAACAGTGGAGTCGACTCAACAGTGGAGTCGACTCAACAGTGGAGTCGACTCAACAGTGGAGTCGACTCAACAGTGGAGTCGACTCAACAGTGGAGTCGACTCAACAGTGGTATCGACTCAACAGTGGTATCCACTCAACAGTGGTATCGACTCAACAGTGGTATCGACTCAACAGTGGTATCGACTCAACAGTGGAGTCGACTCAACAGTGGTATCGACTCAACAGTGGTATCGACTCAACAGTGGAGTCGACTCAACAGTGGTATCGACTCAACAGTGGAGTCGACTCAACAGTGGAGTCGACTCAACAGTGGAGTCGACTCAACAGTGGTATCGACTCAACAGTGGAGTCGACTCAACAGTGGAGTCGACTCAACAGTGGAGTCGACTCAACAGTGGTATCGACTCAACAGTGGAGTCGACTCAACAGTGGTATCGACTCAACAGTGGAGTCGACTCAACAGTGGAGTCGACTCAACAGTGGAGTCGACTCAACAGTGGAGTCGACTCAACAGTGGAGTCGACTCAACAGTGGAGTCGACTCAACAGTGGTATCGACTCAACAGTGGTATCGACTCAACAGTGGTATCGACTCAACAGTGGTATCGACTCAACAGTGGAGTCGACTCAACAGTGGAGTCGACTCAACAGTGGAGTCGACTCAACAGTGGTATCGACTCAACAGTGGAGTCGACTCAACAGTGGTATCGACTCAACAGTGGAGTCGACTCAACAGTGGAGTCGACTCAACAGTGGAGTCGACTCAACAGTGGAGTCGACTCAACAGTGGAGTCGACTCAACAGTGGAGTCGACTCAACAGTGGTATCGACTCAACAGTGGAGTCGACTCAACAGTGGTATCGACTCAACAGTGGTATCGACTCAACAGTGGAGTCGACTCAACAGTGGAGTCGACTCAACAGTGGAGTCGACTCAACAGTGGAGTCGACTCAACAGTGGTATCGACTCAACAGTGGAGTCGACTCAACAGTGGTATCGACTCAACAGTGGAGTCGACTCAACAGTGGAGTCGACTCAACAGTGGAGTCGACTCAACAGTGGAGTCGACTCAACAGTGGAGTCGACTCAACAGTGGAGTCGACTCAACAGTGGTATCGACTCAACAGTGGTATCGACTCAACAGTGGTATCGACTCAACAGTGGTATCGACTCAACAGTGGAGTCGACTCAACAGTGGAGTCGACTCAACAGTGGAGTCGACTCAACAGTGGTATCGACTCAACAGTGGAGTCGACTCAACAGTGGTATCGACTCAACAGTGGAGTCGACTCAACAGTGGAGTCGACTCAACAGTGGAGTCGACTCAACAGTGGAGTCGACTCAACAGTGGAGTCGACTCAACAGTGGAGTCGACTCAACAGTGGTATCGACTCAACAGTGGTATCGACTCAACAGTGGTATCGACTCAACAGTGGTATCGACTCAACAGTGGTATCGACTCAACAGTGGTATCGACTCAACAGTGGAGTCGACTCAACAGTGGAGTCGACTCAACAGTGGAGTC